TGAACACCACGCTACAATACACATACCTTGCTGAGTAGGCTCTCGAAGTGTGGATTCTTAAGCTGGATGGATACATCTTAATAAGGTTTAAATAACTAAGTAAGAAATTGTGATAGTGAAGACGCACCATAAGGATTTAGAATGGGTGAATGTACCAAGAGAGGAGAGATGGCACAACTGTTCAGCAAACAATGGGCCAAAGGTTTGACCTCACTTGTTTCTTTGACGAGGTGTAGTGGGATTCTAAGAATGACAAGGCTGCATGACGATGCCGACTACGATGTCAGCAAAACGTTTGAGACGGTAGAAAGTCCACAGTCCGACGTTGGAAATAGTCATGAAGACTATAGAAAATGGACAAGGTTCATTTCTCTAGGTCCCCCTGAAAATACAACCAAGTTGAGAAAACAAGCTCAAACGACTTATATATATTTTACCCTTCCTTATATTTACCTATCGGAACGTAGTATTTTCAACCTTAGCATAGGATACAAAATCAAAAATTTAATCACTTAACTCTCTTGGCTGTAAGCGCGCCAAGGTATTAACGAGACCCCGATGCGCTGAGTCTAGGGTCTAATCTGAACCAGAATGTAATCTTTGTATATAAGGTTGTGGAGAAACATGGCTTTACCAATAAGCTTTTCCATCAATTCTCTTAAGTATATCTTCTATCATGGTTCCCATTACTATCAGAACAATTTTTCAAATTATTATTTAGAGGAAACGACCAAATACTTGTAACAATACTACCTCTTTCAAATGTTATTTATAACCCTACGTGCAATTTTGTCTTTAGAAGCAAGTTTTCACCAGTCCTGTATTATTTTATTAATCGAAATGCCTATAGCACCAAAGCAACATGATCCCAATATATTTTATCTATGTTGAAAATCTGTGTGATGATGACCTTTAGATGGTCGATTAACCCATCTGGCATGATATCTATAAAGAATGCTCCAATAAGATTATCATTAGTGTGCGGATTAACTTACTCCATGATCGAAAGATGATCATCCTCTAATGGGCCAAGGTGCATAAGCCTGCTACAACCGGGTAGAAGATGTCGTCTGACATCAGTATCCCGCTGACTGAGGAATCGAAGAGCGTGGTCATTGAGCCGGGCATGCAACGCGTTCTGGTATGCAGCAATACAAAAACGGCGCTGATTGTGTTCTGCTAGATTTGCCATTACATGAATAAGCCTCAGGCGTGAATGAGCCAGATGAAGACTGATTGTCGAGGACTCATGAGCAAGGGGATAGGCAGCTGCATCATCTCGAGTAATACCGCTCAAAGAAGGCTTCTGGAGGAGAATAAAAATGAAATCGGAATTGTATGATCATCTTGCCTTTTTATAGTAAATGGCATCACTTAGCATAGACAACAATAAGGATCTAGTAGTGAAAAAAATCTATCCCTCAAATATTTAGTAAGCTAACCAAGTAGAATACAAGGCATAGCCCACATAAAAGAGTACAAAGAGTCAAGATTGAAATACTTAGGAAGTAATATAAGATGTATTCACCCTATTTCGTCTAAGGTGATGAAGGTGTGGTAATAGAATTTTCCCACAATGATATGAGTTGAGCTGGCGTTTCCACTAAATTTCACATAGCCTTGCTTTCCCAAAAGTTGCTCTCATCCAGGGTGGACTGCAGTTTCGGCCC